AATCCACCATCCTTCTTTGGTAGACAGATTTTGTCCCACGCAATAAGATGTGTTTTTCTTTTCTCCGCAGTACTTCCCCAAAGGAAATCACGTGAAACCCTGTCTAAGCGATCCAAGATGGCCTACGGCAGCTTGATCGTGCTCATTGAGTGTACTGGTATCGACGCTAGAACAAACTTAGTTAAAGTTAGCCTCCCCGCAAAGCTTAACATACGGCCCTTCCATCCTGCAAGTCTTGCGGAGACTCTTGCCAACACCTCTCCAAAGGTCTCTTTATTTATCCTTTTATGTAGTATAGGCATACCCAAATACTTTCCCAAATCCATCGTTGATTTGATACCACTCTCTTCACTGATTTGTCCTCCCAACTCGCGGGACACATTCTTTGAAAATTTTTTTTTTGACTTATCGAGACTAACCTTCTGTCCCGACGCGATACAAAATCTTTCCAACACTCCTCGGATCACCCGAATCTGTGAAACCGAATCTTCTGCGAATAAAATCAAGTCGTCCGCAAAGCACACATGAGAAAGCTTAGGGCCATTCTGAGACAACTTGATTGGCTTCCAATCTTTTCTCCCTATCGATTCCTCGATTAGATGACACAACCGCTCCATACACAAGACAAACAAATACGGAGACAATGGGTCACCTTGTCGCAGCCCTCGCAATGGTCTAAAGCTTTCTGTCCGTTCACCATTCCATAATAAGCTCATTGAAGGACCTTCTACACACTGCATAATCCACTTCACCCACATCTCCGAGAAGCCGACTGCTTTTAACGTGTCTTTCAAGAAGTCCCAGCGTATTCTATCATAAGCTTTCTCCAAGTCCAACTTCAGAAGCATCCATCCTTTCCTCCCCTGTTTCCTTCGCATAGAATGGACTGCCTCTTGAACAATGACGATGTTGTCTATGCTTAACCGACCCGGAATAAAGCTGGTCTGAGTAGGACCAATGAGAGCGGTTATTATCCCCTTCAGCCTTCCCATCATAGCTTTTGTAATTGTCTTAAAGAGCACATTACAAAGACTTATGGGACGAAATTGAGTCATCTGTTCTGGCTTCCCCACCTTTGGTATAAGAACCACTAAGGCATCATTTGTTTCTGCTGGAAGACTACCTGTCCTGAAAAACTCCAAAACAAAATTGGTTACCGACTCGCCAACCACCTCCCAGTTCTGTTGGTAAAAGACGGGTTGAAACCCATCCGGCCCGGGCGCTTTAAACTTTCCCATGCTTCGGACAGCCTCTTCTACTTCCACCGCTGAAAAGGGCTTGCCTAAAACATTCTGATCTGAATATGATAGACCTGCAAATCCTACTTGTGGATGCACATCCACCACTTGATCCACATCTGCTAGAGAATAAAGAACCACTTTCATATCTGCTAGGATATGAAAGGCAAATCCTACTTGTGGAAGCACATCCACCACTTGATCCACATCTGTTTTATTTATCTCCTTTATATATTTAGCCTTTCATATCTGTTTATAATGCATATTTAGGGTAAATTTAATTGAATACAAATAAAATGTATTTTATTTATTTAAAGGAAATATATATCCAACCATTTAATGCATATTGAATCCAACCATAACCGTAATTATTTGAACTATGTTTAATCATAATCGTCTTAACAAACTAACAGTATATTACAAGTAATAGCACTTAATATTATTGCTTCATGGCCGGCTCTGATTATGATGCATCTTATAACCTAAATTCAAAACGTTCTTGGTGGTGGATGAATTACTAAAGCTCATCTTGAGTGAAGCAATGACTTTGTTAAATGCAACTCAAAATATTTAGAATTTTTTTTTATTTGGAGATAAGATGCAGATCTATTGACATAACAACAGACATGATAAAAGATGTTATAAACTAGGTTAATTTGTTTCTAATACTATTACCTCAACGATGAATGTGCTCCTTGAGTTTGGTTTGTTGCTATCATGTGCCTAAAAACGCATTCACTTTAAGAATGCTACCTATGTATCATTTCGTGTTTGGTGCATAGTCTATTTGGTTAGTATGTTATATTATGATATTGTTGTGCCTTGTTACACTCTTCAATTTTTACTATGCATATACTTTGGTTGAGCTAAAAAGTATGTGTGTTTGCTTTAAATTTTCTCATCATCTGTTTAGTATTTATAGGCAATTTTTGTTCAACAATGACACATGCGTCACTGTAACGAACACTATTAACAATGCATAAAAGTTCTACAAGATAAAACTAAAGCTTATATAAAGTGTTTTCGTTCGTAGGTGTCTTCACTTGATCCCTCTGTTTTCTTCTCTCCCACGTGCAACTTCTTTCTTCTTGTATACACTTATCATTCCTTCTTAGATTTATGTCGCACTTTCCTGCGAATAATGCTAAGCTATTAAATCAATATTACTCTCCATCTTCTAGCTAGTATATATATGGAAAACATGTATGTTGTAGTCTATTGAACGATACCATCGCCTGGGGTCATTAAATAGTTGCATGTTTTGTGAACTCGCTCCTTAAGAAATAGTTGATCTACTTCTGCCATAAGAACGTTTCTTGCAAAACTAATGTGTCGAGTGTAACAATAATGCTCATTTAAATCTGTTAAGAATCTCATATGTTCATCTTCAATGTCGGTTGCCATGATTTTTAATGTTGAATGTGCCGATCTCAAACTGGTGTTGGCTTTAAAATCGCAGATTTCTCTATTTCCTTTCACATTGAGTCAGCATTGCCTCGTTGGTATTCAGTAGACTGATGTCTACATAAGAATGTATCTAGCATTGTTATTCAGGGTACAATTTGACATGCTTTGAAGGTGACTGTCAAGTTTTCATCAAGTCATTTCATGGAGTGAGAAATAATATGCTAAAAAGATTCTTATACTAATATTTTCTATTCAGGCTAAATATATCCACAATGGCTAACACTATATATTTGTACGAAAAAAATATACATTAAATTGAAGAGGAGTTTACAAAAGAATATATCCATTACATTGAATAAGAGTTTACAAAGTCAATAAAAAGAAGCGGGTTGATATGATTCATCGAAGTATCAAACCCTAAAGCAACCAAATCTAAGCCCTAGACTTGCACAAAAAGAAAGTGCAAACTCTCGGATATATTATTGGTTTAGTGACTTCGTTTTTCGTTGCATCCGAGCTTCCAATTACCTTGACCCCTTTAATCCTAACATATCATTAAACATGTGATGCAATATATTGAGAATCTAAAACGATGAGTTTATATAACTAAGATATCGCATCTATGGTTGCGTAAAACAATGAAAAAAACAAATTTCTGTATAACTTTAGTAATTAAACGAAACAGAAATAAAAGATAACCATGTGAATGGATGACGGTTTCTATTTTACACAAGTTTGGAAATTTGTTTATCGACATTAGCGACTTTTAAAAATTGTATTATTTATGAAGAAACACAGCATTGTTTCAAGTCTAAGAAAATACACACAAGTCATTTTTAACAGGCAAGAATGTAAAGTATCGGCTAAATATATTTAGGCCCAACGCATAGAATTTACTTTATTTCCGATTCTCTTGATCCCGGAAATCTTATCCAGTGCGTCTCAATTATGAAACAGCAAAGCTGGGGAAGTGTGGAAACAAAGTGAAAGAATAGACTTTTAAGATTCCTTAATTTTGTATGTTTCCGTATCTTGCTAGATTTTCTACTATTCTATATTTTTCCCGAAACGTGCCAATACGTGGAAAGAATTGTGTTTTCCTAAAAAAGAATGAGGGCTTGATATTCAACGTATCCATGTGTCACGGATGTTCAGGTTAAGCTTAATTTGGAAACTACTAACTTCATCTGGTTTATTATTGGTGGTAACGATAATATATTATCCGTTAGAATACTTTTAAGCAGGGTCGGCCCATGGCTAAAGCCCATCAAATAATTATAAGTAGATTTAAGGGCATCAATTTTTAAAGTGTTACTGTGGTCTAGTGGTTAATTTGAAGTCTTTTGTTGTACAGGTCACGGTTTCGAATCCCAAACATGTTAAAACTTCTATTTTTTTTTTTATAACAGTTTTTCTTAATGGGCCAAATTTTTTTTTGCTTTAGGCACTCAAATAGTTTGGGCCGGCCCTGCTTTTTAGGACGGTAAAGATAGGTTCCAAGACATGGCGGAAGCTATTGAAGTTAGGGTCAATTACGGCTGAGTATGTACATCAGAAGATCCGCAATTGTTTAGCACTACTATGCATACTTTTGTCTTTGATTTTTGGCATCCCACGAGACGCCTTCTTGACTCCATAGATGAGATATGCATTAGAAAATTAGGTGTGTCAAAGTATGTGAAGGTCTCAAAGGTGGTCACCTAAACTACGTAGTTGAGAATTTGCTATAAACATCTTGCAGTAGTATGGCACATAAAATTAAAATCCTTTTCTTTTTTTTGTTATCAGCATTTGAATCCAACAAAATATGGCAATGGCATTCATAATCTTTTTAGTTAAATTCTAAGGAAGACGAAAACATGCATAGCAATAAAATATATACAGGCAGAGCAAAGAAATTGACTTAATCAAAACTATTTTAGATATTTTTTATATTTTAAATAATTACAAAGCAAATAAAAAAAAAGTAAATAAATAACTTGTTTTAAAAATAATGTGCACACTTATGTTTACTTGGAGGTTAGTATTACATAAATTAATAGCTTGGAAGTTTGACGTAGACATTCAAATAGTTAGAGGTTTTATTTGGAAACTGTAAAAAGTTATTGGGTTTTAATGGTGATTTCCTCAAAAAAAAGGAAAAGAAAAAACGAAACATATCTAAAGATTTTTTTTAAAAAAAGATAGTTAAACTATTTATTTTGTAATAATTAAACTTCTTCAAATCGAACTAATTTTTTTGAGGCAAATACATCAATGGAAATGAACTTAAAGAAAAAAACTCTAAGTACTACAAAATTTTTTTAAAAAAAACAACTCATAATTTTTTTTTTTTTTTTTTTTTACAGCAGATAAATTTTATTTTCTGAAATGGAAAAAACAAAAAATGCAGATGATCAAACACTTCACTCGAAATACATCCTTTAGACTAGAGATCATTGGTGATGTTAGGAGCACAAACATCAGTGAGAGCAGTGATGATGGTAGTTATTGATGTCCATGCAAGGAATGCCCTCGTTCTCTCCAACATTAACATTTTGATTCAAATCCAAATTCATACTTTGATTCGAATCTATATTCATTTTCATATTAAAGTCATGGATTTTCTTTGGAATCTGATCATAAAAATCAAAAAGAGCCTGATATTGGAACTTAACCGGCTTTTGCTGATCTTGATTTTGATATTGAATCATATGACCATCAAATCCGATTGGAGCAGATGCATCCACACCAATAGGAGCTGCCCCAATAGGAGGAGGTAAAGAAGAAGAAGACTCACCGTTCTCCGTAAGGATCTCAACCCTACGAATAAGACCATTGAGATACTTATCAATAAAGAAACTCAAATCTAGAAGATCTCTTCCATGAAGATGATAAACATCTATCTCCCCTTTGAGACAACCGAACATTAAATCTCGAATTTGAGAATTTCGGTTCTCATCACGTAGCTTTTGCAGTTTTTCTGTTTCTTTGGCGATCCTTTGACGTATAAATGTCTCTTGATCCACCATCTTCTTGGTCCGGTCTATCACCGAAAACTCCATAAAATTCGACACCACTTCTTCAACGCCTTCCTTTGATGGCCAAGCCTCCGGGATCGAGTTGTACGGGCTATTGATGACCGCACATGCTTCAACATCACATAGAGTCACTAGCTCGTGGAGTTTCTTCATGATTCCTTTCTTCCTTTTGGTGAATGTTGTTTTCCTCACTGTATCATTTTCTATGAACGATAACTTAACCTTCCCCCTCATATCTATTATCTTTGTTATGTGTGTTTTTTGTTTTGTTAGAATGAGGAGGATTGTTTATATAGTAAATAAAAGGTTTTCAACTCAATAGGTTTTTCTTATTTCTTTGCTGGACTAATTAATTTTCAATTTTACTAAATTTTTAGGATAGATATTAGTTTCACCCTTACGTGTAGGCATGTGATATATTGAGGGTAAAGTGATAATCATTTAGTTTTAGAGACAACCCATACATATATTTTACCTTTTGGGGGGCATAAAAACAAGACATTTAGGAAAAAAATTGTATCAGATATGTAGATTTATCCTTGATTTAGGAAGTCCATTTAAAGGGAAATTTTTTTACATCAAAGGTAATTTAAGATATTTCTTCAATCTCTAAATTTTTCTATTTATTATTAATTTTATATCAATATAATTAATAAATTATTTAAATTACAGGTAATATTAGTTGGATAGAAAGTGATGTCAAAAATTATGATGCTAAACTCTGAAGCTTATGAAGCTTATCCTACAAGTATTCACTATTGTCAAAGAGAATCTGGAGCTTTTAGGGGTTTCTTAGTCTTCTCGATCAATGGACTATCCAGAATTCAGATTCGAGAAGACTTGGTTCTAGACCTAGCTAGACGACCTAGTCTAGAGATTTGTTTACTTACACTGAAACTTGCATAATTTGTGTGCTTTTATAAATCAAAGTGAATTAATCTTATTATTTTGAACTACTGTTTTCTCATGCCTTGATTGTTTCTTTGTGTTAGTGCTTAGATGTCATGAGTTTAACTCTATATACCAAATATCTCAGTTTATTCTAATACCAAAAACTTTTAAGTTTAAATATATAAACACTACGTTCATACATAGTATACACAACAAAAATCAGGATCTTGTAATATCTAAGTAAGTAAATATAAGGATATTATCACTATCTATGTTCAGAAGAATCAAAAATTAAGTAAGAGTTCTGACAGTTTTTTTCTATAGTGTTTGGACAAAAGAATTTACTTTATACACCTTATTATTATTTTGTTTACTTCTTCTCCTACAAAACTAATGTCGACACACCGTGATAAAAACGACGACACTATTGGGACAAGCAACATCAACCTTATTCATCATCTTCGACTTCATAAGTGATGGGAGCTCCGACCGATTCCATAGTGTCTCTCGATGATCAACGAGCAGCAGTTTAGATCTTCAGAGATAACCAACCCAACCAATTCTATAATCTCATGTCGAACATCCACCCTCTTGAATCCGTCATCGAAATGTTCAATACTTGGAGGCGTATGGCTAAGACCATCAATTATATCTGGGTGAATCGTAAGTCTCTTTCCACTTCATTGGAATATCTGGATCCAATTATTTTGACTATTTTGTAGTCTTTTCTCGATTAGAGCATTTTAACCCATCAATTATATTTTGACCCAAAAAAATGATAACAATTTAATTAGGAATGTAAATAAAAATGCTAACATACAAGTTAAAAGTAATAATTAAATTATCACGATAAGTAAATATGCTAATATATAAGTTAAAAATAATTCTTAAATTTATAAAAATATAAATATGGTAGTATATAAGTTAGCCAATACCAATCTAATTATCAAGAGAAAAACATATGAAAAATAATCTACATATTTATATCTTGTAATATATAGTTTAACATGTTACCAGTGTCCACTTAATATTATAAAACTAACGTTAACATAATATGTTAATGTATAATTTAGCAATAATAATTAAGTTATCAGGATAAATAAACATGGTAATGTATAAAGTTTTTGATATGAATAACATTATCGAGCAAATTTTATATTTAACACATTATATGTAATTTTGTTATATTTTGTATGATATAATAAATAATTTAACATGATAAATATGAGTTTATCATATAATTTGTAAACTTATCCATATATAATATAATTTATACTGCTAGTAAAATTGTTAATGACAAAAATCATTGTTTTGTTATTTGTCTCTAGCAATGGAGACTGGTTTTCTTTATCGGATGAACAATGTCGTAGATATCAAAATGAACAGTGACGTCCGCACATTAATATCCTTTAATCAGTGGCATTTGTGTAATTAATACAAGAAAGAAGGATATTTTTTGTTTGCATTTTATTTCTCTTTCATACTTACCTATTTTTTAAATAATCATGGCTACAAAGCTAATTATTTGGTCAACTGGGCATATAAATTAATATACACCTAAATAACTCAAAATACAAGGGCTGCATGTTACAGTAGGCCAATTGTCTAGAGGACATGTATATATCTATATAAAGAGTAACAAATTAAAAGAAAAAAAATGTAATTGCTTCCAGTACTCTTCAAATTTCAGGATCAGCACTGGTTTTCATGCAATTTATAACCCTAATTTAGCATGTGCCCATGGTGGATAAAATATCAAAGTTATAAAAGAGAGTGCAGTAAGACGAGGAGGAGGTGAAGGCTAGTGATGGGTGATGGGAGAAGGAGAATTTGTTTATGTCTTTATGATACTTTGATCAGATTTTGTGGATAGAGGTCGAGTTTGTGTACGTATAATTTGTGAATTGCTTTATTTCTTTTGGAAACTTTGATCAGATTTTGTGAACGTATAACAGTTTTGGTGAATTTTCATTAAATTGGAGAAGAGTTTACTAAAAAAAGAGGGTTTAAATAATTCATCGAAGTATCAAACCCACAAACAACCAAATCAAAGCCCTAGACTTGCAGAGTTAGTCTCATTGGTGGAGTCTCCTGAGAATTGGCCCGCTTTTTCCAATCTTCTCGATGAATTTAGTTTGCTTCGGGTAGTTTTGCGTGAATAAATTGGAACGGTATAATTAATTTTATCTTTTTAACAATTTAACATCACATGCAATCTCAAGGCGTATCTAAAAGTTCTATGAGTTTAGTTTGCTTCGAGTAATTTTGCGTGAATAAATTGGAACGGTATAATTAATTTTATCTTTTTAACAATTTAACATCACATGCAATCTCAAGGCGTATCTAAAAGTTCTAAGATTATGACTATCTCTTTTGTTTATCCTTTTTCTAATTGAATAAAAATATAACATAATATGAGGCAACATTTTGTAAATTAAGAAATAAAATATAAAGTTAAGAGATTTGTGTGTTTTTCAATAAATTAAAGTGGTATATATATATATATCTTTTTCAAATATAACACTTAAATCAAATATTTACTTTTATTCACACTTAAAAGTTTAAAAGAAAATTCTAAAGTGATAATTTAGGATCTTCAACTTGTAATCTCTTTTAACATGTTATAATATATAAACTCACTAGATTAGATTACGGGGCTTTTGATTTTATTATATTAGATTATAAATAAGATGATATGTCCAATGTTAAAAAATACTTTAGTTGTGAATATGGTTTTAAAATATATTCAACCAATTAGTTTAAATTTCAATATGGAGATTTTTATTTAAAAAATCATCAAGTATCTACCAATTCATTTGAAACCGTCAACTACATTAATTATTAATGAAAAAAATCTTAAATAAGAGATTTATGTTGTGAACAAAGAGGTTTTAGGGTTTGTTTCTCTTTGTTATCGATCTATTATATAAGATACAATATATATAGAGATACAATTATTAGGCTTTAGGTTAGAGATCAAGGCTTCTAGAATCTACTAATGGACCTATAATAGACATCCACATAATACCCATATTATTTATAACACTTCTCCTTAGATGACCATTATATAAATATGGTCTCAATTGCGCATGTGAGATGCTACCTCATTAAAAACCTTACCAGAAAAACTCAATGGGAAAAACCATGGTTAAAGGAAAAAGAGTGCAGCGCGCTTTTACTCCCCCTCATAAGTAGATCACTTGAATCTTCGAGATGATGCGATCAAATATGATGAAATAACTTCTTGAAAGTAGTTGTCGGAAACACCTTGGTAAATAGATTCGCCAAATCTTCACTTGAACGAATTTGTAGGACACGTTAGTCACCATTCTTCTACAGTTCATTGGTCTCGTAGGTTGATCATCTTTATCATTATCTTTTTTTCTCTCGATCTCATCAATGTATGTTAAAGACTTTGAAGAATGATAGTCTTTCATCATTGGAATCACAACATTTCTCTTTACGTGTGTCTATCATTCGCGTGTTCTTTGTTGTCTCGTTAAAAACCATTCATGGAAAAACCCAATGGGATAAAAATCATGATATGAAAAAAGAATACAACCACACACACATAATCATATTTCTCCCCCTATAAACAACATCTTCAGGATATGTATTCCAGTCATATATACCATATTTTCGGGAATCACTATATTCAAAAATTTAGTGAACAAATTGGTATGATTGTCATATAACCTCTCGGGTCTTTGAACTTCTAGTTCATAATATCTCTTTCAGATGGAAAATTATTTCACAGTCTACTTAGACTTCAGGTCCAAATAATCTTTTGGATACAAGCTTCTAAACTTTTATCTTTTACATAGGAGTTATGCATACTCTCCTCGTAAAACTTACTATTTTAGCTTTCCTTCCTTTTATTATTCTTCTAGACCAAATATAAGTGAGCATTTTCCATATAAAATCCTGTAAAGATCTTTGAAATAATATCTCTTGTTCTAGATGTCCAATTTGTAATTCCGAGAAATTTCATAGAGAATCGGATTATTCCACAATTTGATTTCTACATTTTCGTAAAGAATGATTTCACATATATAGTTATGTTCTCAAGAACTATAATTTGTTGCTTCTGGCAATATAATCCTTCTGGACAACTTCTATCTTTCAAGGCTGTTTATGACATTTTAAGACCTTCTAGGCAGACTGAATTAAGTTTTTCTCATACTGTCAAACAGATAAGGGATTTATATAGTTGCATCCACCACATGAGAGTATATTTATTTTTCTTAAATTCCATGTCTTTGTAAGAAATATTTTTGCCACTAAACATGCTTTATACCTCATGAAAATCCAATTATCTCCCACTAGTTTTACACCTTCAAGTGTACGGATTTCTAGTCCAACTACTTTCTA